TTGTATATGTTTTATGTTCAGTTCATTTGGTTTCAGCTGTGCAGCAAAATCAAGCAATTAAATATATTCCCAAGAGGCACATCAGCTAGCAAGTACTATATAGAAAACAGTAAATATTTTAGATTCTATAAAATGAGTTTTATGGATTTCTTAGCTTTAGTGTTTAATTAGAAGACGACGCTCATCCAGCAGGTGATTAGCTTAGCCTAGCACAAAGACAGCTAACTTGATTCAGTACAGGAAATAAAATCTACTAATGAGAATTTTTAAAGCTCTTTCATTAACAAATTATATATTATAAAAATGCTGGGCCTGGCTAACAAGTAGTGCTTGTTATGATGTTGACATTTTCTAGTTTTATGACTCCATAACACAAGAACAACCCAGAGCACCCTCTCAATTAAGAAGCTTAAACCACAGAGATTGTAAATTAATTGATTATGACTATATATAAACAAATATATCTAAATTCTTAGTATTAATAATTAATCTCTCTACTCTCTGTGAGTAGCTGTAACAGCGCTAACCACTGGGACTCACTTCTGTCCTTATAGCCTCACGAGAGCTTATCCTGCATGACAATGTGTCTACACTTTGTGAAATCTGGGTTAAGAAAGCCTCATTACACACTCTCACTCACAAACAAAGACCACCACCAACTGGGAATTCCAAGAAGAAACAACCTGAAAGTTTTTTCCTTGCTCTTGAAGTGGATGTGTCCGATTCTTGTGGTGCACATCTTTATGCTCGTCTCCCAGGACTGTGGCATGATAGGAGCAAACAGTGCAGGCTCCACAGAGGTGTAAAAAGATCATGATGTGCTGCTGATGTTTACAGAAGGATTGCCCTAAGATGAATTCTAGATGACCTATTTGCTTTATGCTTAAATGCAAATTCATGTTAGGAGTCCAGTTAAATTATCTTTATTTCTGTTGACCTGGTTTCTGTTTGAAAGCAATTCTTCTGGTGGTTAAAATATTCACATGCTTTCACATACCATGCTGCACTCAAATAAATCTTTCATTCAAAGAGTACTTAACCTAAGCATAAGTAGTGGTTATGCAGTTAAATGTCATTTGTGATATTATGATGCAAATATAATGACATACTACAAGTTTAATGCTGATAACCTGGGCGGTTGGTACCTTTACACATAGCAAGTTTGTACATATTCAGAAAGTACACCTCTCAAGTCTAAGGTTTTATCAGGTGTTTATCAGGATATAATAAAAAATCTCTGTGTTTTGCTTGTTAAAAAAAATCTAAATACAACGTGTTACACCATGTCATTTATTTGTTTGAGCTTGTAGAATGACCTTTAGCTGCTTTAGCATGTAGTAATTGTTTTCTGTATGAATTTATCAGTCTGCCACATGGCTGTGGAGGAATTTTGGCACACTCATATTTACACCATTGCTTCAGCTCATTGAGGTTTGCCAACATTCATTTATGCACAACAACACAGCATTTCGAGCAGGTTGAGGTCTGGACTTTGACTGGGCCATTGCAACACCTTGATTTTATTCCTTTTTCAGCCTTCCTGTTGTTGATTTGCTTTTGTGTTTGGGATCATTGTCGTGCTACATGATCCAATTTGAAACAAACTTTAGCTGGACAAATGCCCTCAAATTTGACTTAGGATTATTTTGGCATACTGAGATGGCTCAATACCCCAAGCTGCCCAAGTCCTGTGACTAAAAAACAAGCCCAAATCTTCACCCCTCCAGCGCCGTGCTAAGAGCTGGTATGCTGTGTTTGGTTTGCATTAGGGCCAAACATCTCCACTTTAGTCTCATTTGTGCAAAAAAATTAGTTTTTGCTGAAGTTTTGTTGTTTGTATAATGTGGCCATTACATTTGCTGTTTTTGCTCTGGTGAACAACACCGAACGACAAACCTGATGTCACATCTCCTTGTCGAAGCCACTGCTTCAGTCTTGTTTTGGCCGGTTGTGCACCAATTACCTACACCTTGTATGTTGGTTGCTAGCGATACAGCCAGTTTGTCGTGTCGATTTTTTAAACCACCATTTTAATGATATATCAGTACAAGCCCAGAATTCACAGTGTATACAGAGAGAGTTGTTGCAAAAGTTTGAAAAGATTACATTAGATTTCTCCTGCTATACCAGTGCTGATGTCTGGGGCCTCACACCTATCATTCAAGTGAATGCAATATCAATGGCAATGTGGAAAGCAACCAAAGCGGCAGGTATAATGTGATCCTAAGCTGTGTTGCCATGCTGTTTTTAGAAAAAAAGATACTTTCTCATGGCATCCTTTACAAACAAGGTACTGTCATTAACATACTTCTGCGTTTGCACTTAGTTTTTGGTAAGTAAATAAATAATGGATGTAAATAAATAATGTTGGTATATTTACATAGTTTTAAGACTTGCTAAGGACTTTTTTAATGTGCCGATACGTAGGGTGTGCTTTATTTATCACATGAACATGTA